CAATGTGCAACAACATGGATGGACCTCAAGATAATCATGCTGAGCGAAATAAGCCAGATTGAAATAGTTGAAAATCACATGTTATCACTTATATGTGAGATATAAACCTAAAAGCAACAAATGAACAGGACAAACAGAGACTCAGGGACATAGACAATGGACTAGTGGTTACCAGAGGGTAGGGGGTGGGGGAGGAAGGAAGAGGTAGGCAGGGTAAAGGGGGTCAAATATAGAGGGGTCGGGGGAGGATGAAGTGAGTAAAGGGGATCAAATATATGGCAGCTGAAGGAAACTGGACTCTGAGTGGTAATTACATAATAGAATATATAGATGTCAAATTATAATATAATTGTATTAACCAATGTTACCCCAATAAACTTTAAATAAATAAATAAAGAGAGAGAGAGAGGGAAATGAATTGCCTTTACACTGTGTATTTTAGTTTAGGCCTTCAGGTACGGCCTCAGATTCACAAGCAAATGCAGTCCTCTATCAGAGAAACAGCTGCTTTATGGCACTTGGATGACCTTCCTAATAGATTTTAATATTGAATTGTTAAAGCAAGTTCTCAGCCAAACTGAAAAGAGCATGTGTCAAAGTTTTATTTCAAATTTTCCACAAGAGAGGAGCCAGCCAATTTCAAGATAGCCCTTCTGTTAGAGATATTTATTGTGGGGGAGTAGGGGGGGAAGGACTATTAAGAAACATTTTCTAAAACCTGGAACTAAGGAAGAAAAAAGCTTGTGTGACTTTTCAGTCTTTGCAAGGAAAATCATTAAATAACTGGCCCACTCAAGGATTACGTAATTCTTTTATGTACCTTTGTTTGAATTACTACCATCAATTAGGGTGCAGACTCTGAAGTCACAGGTTAACAAGTAGATTTCTGTCCAGTAAAAACGAAATGATTTCTGTCCGAGAGAAGTTACCATTTCATTGTCATGTAGGATATTAACCAGTTTTATCGAACTTGCAATCTTAATTCAACATTTTTCCATTGGTGATATTCAATATTTTCCATAATTTTAAATATAACTGGATCTCTCATTAACAAATTAAATAAATCTTTAACACACTCTGTTTTATATGTATATAAGAATCATGCTTTTAGATTTTTTTAAATTATACTTGGATACGATACAATATAAAATATATCTGGTGACCTCAGACTCCTCAAAAGGCAGTTGGTTATTTACGTAGCTAGGCGGGCACGTAACTTTCCAGTTGAATGTCTTAACCTCTTGAAAGTCTGTCAGCAAATTACTCAGGAATGCTAATTATATCCCAGGAGGAGTTATAAATTATGTCTGCAAAAAACGCTATGGACCTTGTTCGGGACAGTGTTCTTTCTCAGTTGCCATTTTCAATTTGGAAAACACTATGT